GGAATTAGTGGCATCTAGTGGTGTAGGTGCAGATTGCAACTTCCTCACTTCATCCTCCCCTTCTGGACTACTGTAGAAACATGGAGGCCAACCGCAGTGTCTGTAGATAAAAACGGTTTATTTTAAGGAAACGACAACACAGCTATTGTTATTTTCAGGTGATTAAACGCTAATGAAAACATAGCTAAGCATATAATATTTAATTTCTGTGAATAGATCCTCCTAAATGTTACACACTGGACCTTTAAATACAGGATGAACTCAGATGTTTGCTTGTTTGCCACCATAAAAAGCAATGGAAAGAGCAACAGCATATAGATTCTTTATTAAAAGAAGATCCAAGGTGATCTTGTGCAGCAGTGATCACTTAATGCAAACTGGAGTCAGTAAATGATAAATGAAAGAAAAACAGATTTTCCTGTCGAAAAAAAGCAGAGAGGGACAGAATTAAGACTGAGAGCTGGCCTGAATAAGTTAATCTTGATTGTGGACAATAATACAGACACTCTGGCAGGGAACTTGTTCAGCTTGAGAGTTTTCCCCATAAGGCAGTCAACTGAGAGAAAGATTTATGTGTGCGTTTTGTTTTGCAGTCTGAGTACATGTGCATCTGAAATTCTGTGTTGAGCAATTAGTCATTAGCCGAGCGTGGCTTTGATTTAGCTTCGGAAAATATTAACATCCTCTCAGTCAAACTTCCGCAAGTAATGGAGCTCTACCAGCGCTTTACTTAAATAAAAAGACTCCATTTTATGCAGGCAATTAAGAGCCTTGTAGAAATTTGATGTCGTGCTTTCTAAGCTCTGCAAGTCATGGATGCTTTAGTCCATAACTCATTTATATCTGACTGCGTCTGTCCTCGTAGATGCTTCCACTCTCTCTTGCATTTTATTCGTTTTCCCTCCATGCTTCCTTTCTCTCTATTCAGTCTCCCTCTCTCTATCCTCCTCTGTCACTTGCTCCCCCTTCTCTTCTTCATCATTATCATCTCCATCTCACTCACTATCTCCCTCTCTCCATCTGTCCTTTCTTATGAAATAAAACATGAATCCATTATTCATTCATTCAAACATATCTATCATCGCCGCGTGCTGCACTGTGCCCCTTATCTGCAAAGCTTTTTTTTCTTCCTTATTGTGCTTCATTTATTCACCACTCATACGGCCCCATCTGAAAACACACCACAACACTGGGGAGTGTTTTTTAGCGGTGCAAGCACTGACAAGAGTGGTTCGTGAGGCAGTAAAAATCCCTTTAGGGGATTCTCCTGTCATAACAATAGCAGTGGCAGCTTAAAATAACAGTAGTTTGTGTGGAGGGTTTATATAAAGCAATAAAACACAGGAACTTGCCAATGCACAGCACATAAATACTGAATAATTTGTGTGGTAAGGAGCAGGTGATGCTCTGAGGGAGGTCATGTTATCGACTGTGTCTTGTATATCTTTTTCATAGCCTCCATACATCTATATTGTTAGAATTTCATTTCTAGCGAGAGGAAAATAAAACAAACACGCCTAATAAAGAAAACAGGGCTAACTTGAAGCTCCCCCTAAAATATCCGTGTACAATCCTGACTGAGGGACTAATCTCAGCCGAGCACGTCCTCTTTGTTTCCAAGGAATTCTTGGCTGTAGGTCAGCGGTTGTCAGACAGAAAGTTTCCAGGTGAAAAAACAATCTGGCTTTCCTCTCCAAGCTCTAAAAGCCGAACATCTGGTAGGTTTTTAGCAGCGAAGTGCTCCATCCACTGTCCACTTCCTCATTCCCCAACATGAATCAGTGCTGCTTTTGCTGTGTAATTAATCTGTTTGCCACGACAGTTCATCAAAGGGAATTGCAGATCACGACTTGCCATATCCGACCTAATACGAGCAGACAGGAGGTCACGGCTTTAATAACACGTGTCCTTTTGTCTCTGCGCAGAATGTTGGAGGATGACCTGAAGATCAGCAGCGATGAGGAAGAGGCCGAACAAAAGGTGAGCTCCCTCTGCAGTCCGTCCATTCATTCATCTATGCAAATCATCCCTCGCTCCAGCTTTGCCTGCGTCTGTCCTCTGGTCATTCATGCACATTCACATACGTTACATTAAACTCATCTTTTTATGTCACATATTCTGATTCAGTTCATCTGTCCAGGAATCAGTTCAGCCCATGTTTCTAAAAGCATCTATTCACAATTCATCCATCGTCTCTTTCAGTTGCATAAACCAACCATCTTTAATCAGTGTTTATTTACATACCACCTCTATCAGGTATTTAACCCTTTCAGTCACTGGTCACAAAAACAGTTTTTCCCTACTGCCATTTATCAGATCAAGACTAATTTAAAAATGCTTGCAAAGCTCTAAAAAAATTGCTTATATTTATTAGAATTCTTAAAATGTCACAAAGAGTGAAATAAGTTCAGGTTTTTGATAAAACTGCTGAAACAATTGTGGGCTTACAACATCATCATAACCGATAAATATCAGGACTTACTTAATGTAACTTACTCATCTTTTACCCAGATCGAATAATATAATATATATTATAACCTTTGTGACTTTGTCATCAACACTTAGAATGAGAATAGTCTATATGGGGGCCATAACCAAGGAGAAAGCTGCAAGCGAAACGCATTGTTCGCTCTTAAATAAATCACAGTAAAGTCATTAAAATGTGCAGTTAATTCAGATTTTTTTTTTTATATATATATTTATATATATTATATATACACATATATGTGTATTTATTATTAAGATGATCAAAAGAATGATTGCGGCCCACCTGAGCCGGGTCTGCCTTGAGGTTTTCTGCTCTTTAAAAGTTTTTCCCTTGCCTGCTTCGCCAAAGGTGCTCGTCATAGTGGAATGGGTTTGGCCACTGTAAACTATTTTTTTAAGGTATGTACGTTTTTGGACAAGAGTCCTGAGATATACTTTTGTATGAATTCGGGTTCCTATACAAATACAAAATTGAATCGAATTAACATTTTTAAAATTAACTTAAGCAATTCATCCTTTGATATCGAAGATAATAAAAGAATGAAAAAGAAAACATAACAGTACATAGAATAAAACTATTAAATTGCCAGTACTATACAAAAGTACAAACAATTCAAAAGTTAAGAAAACCGATGTGGATAATTTATTACTATAATAAAAAAAAAAATCTGAATTAACTGCACTTTTAATGACTACTGTGAATTAAGACGAAACATGCGTCGCTTGCAGTCTCCTTGTATCCCCATATAAAATCACACAACAAATCACAAAGTAAAATTGCATGGATTTTAAAATTTAAAAAATAAGATATTATGTCGAACAAATCTGAGGAAAGTAAGGAACGTATTTGGTTAGCAATAAGTAAGCCCAACGAGATTATTACTAGCGGAGCCTATATGAAATAGAAAAAAATGAAGGGCCCACAATTATATCTGCTCGGATTAAATACATCTATATAACCATAACAAAACTTTTAAAAGCTCACGTCTGGACATAAGAACTAATAATTACCAGTAAAGCAAACTTGAGTTGAAGATATATATTGTGATAGCCAAGTCAATATGCTCACTACTGATATAATGGCAGTAAAAGGCAGAAGAAGGATGATGAGATGTAGGGGTTGAATTTCCAAAGTAACAAGCTATACTAATTACCCCCATTAAGGAGAATGGGACGAAACAAATTCTGATGTGTGCATGTATGTAAGCTTTTTAGATAACAGATTTACAGAGAAAATGTGGAAAGACGAGAGAGATCAAGACATGCAACAATTGAATGGTCACGCCTGTAACCTCAGACCCAAACAGGGACCTCCAGGCTATTGATAAATGTTGACTCTATCGGTGAGATACATAGTCGCTCTGCTGCAAACTGAAATAGGTAAAACTGGTGGATCATGAAAACTGGAATAGTATGGATAGAATAAGTTATATCACAATCAAATATGTTAGAACGCCATATTGAAATATAAATAAACCACTGAATAATTTCATATGTATTGGTTGTTTCATGCAACAAAGAAACGATTATCTGTATGTCCAGAATATCACTTGCTTCTTTATATACTCTATATGAAACTATTCCGTCCAAAAAAAATCTGGCAGTAGCCCTGAAGAGTAAAACAAAGATATGAGGACAAAAATTACGTATGTGGAATGCAGACAACAGAAGACATA